GGATTGCTATGTACCTCCTACAACCACTAATTTACGTGCAGCCATCTATCGCCTACAGCCGTGCTTGCTATGATAACCATTACACGAGTAACTTGTTCATCGGTTCGTGGTCACCCTACGGCTCATGGAAGTTTAAGCCTAACTGCAATTTCACCTTATATCCTGTGTTTGAATCACCAGCAAACTTGAATCCCTTCAGAGCACCAAACTTAGCACACTCCTCCTTCACATCTATCAATTCATCTGCCAAAATAATTTATAACATAACTAAAGCAAAGTGCGCGCTCTGAGTGGTTAATTCAGCATCTACTATTTGCCCATGGGTGCATGCTGCCGACGTGAGCAAATGCTAAGACTATTTTTCCGCGCGCGCTCGTTTTTTCTGATCACGTAAGATTTGTTAAATAAAAGGGAACTCTTGTTCCAATGTATCTATGTTATGTTATAAAACAAAGGGTGAACGCCATAGCGTGTACTGTTGAGTTATGGATGCACTTGGGAGGTTTGCTAAGCACTCAAGAGCTGGGCACGCTAAGCACGCTTCTTTTGTGCTTAGCAACCTCCCGCGTGCATCCATCCGCGTTCGCCATTTGTTAATTTTAATGTGCGACGCATTAAAAACTTTGTACAACAGCTTAAGAATGTTAGCATTACTTGGTAAATAGCGTTATTTGATGTTTAAAGTACAAATTAAGCAAATCACATGAAAAACCTCTTGGGTTTTGCTGACGAAGGAGGAGTCAATAAATAACCGAATCATAACCCTTACAAGCTTTTCTGGGGCTTCCCTATGAATTAAGCGATATCCATTCATAATCCTGGGCGGGGGAAAGGCATTATAAAAGTAAAGTGTTCTGCCAAAAATCAGGGGTGGAAGTAGAATTGTGAATCATGAATCATATCTTTTAAATTGGAGGTAATCATGCATTTTCATGTTCGTGAATCATGGATAGGCTATTTTACAGTTGTGTACTTAGTTGCCAAGCCTTTGATTCAGAGTGAGGCTAAAGATGACCTTGTTGTGATAGAGACCTGTATCTAGTTAGCATGATAACAATGTGATTTACATTTGAAAGGCAGCAAGGTTTGTATCATAACAAGGTCATCCCTAGCCTCACTCCCGTTCAAAGGCTTGGCAACCAAGCACACAACTGTAAAATGGACTATTATTATGAGATAAAGTTAAAAATTGAATAATGAAAATGAAAAAACTATGAATCACTGAGCTAAAAAAAGACATGAATCATGAATTTTGAAGTCAAATGATTATATTTCTGTAACGACCAGATTAAGTTAAAAAAAAAACAAACTCCACTTTAATTCTTCAACCCGCTGGCAGATTACAAGTTGAAAAAACCGTTAAACTAAGACCCGCGAATGCATAAATATGTAAGCCACAAATATATGCACCTGCACAATAATGAATAATGAATACGCTACTAATGATCTAACACTAATTGCATGCTTCTAACAGTATTTCCTCACAACTTCCATTCCAAACACTAGAACATCACAAACAGAACTGGATGTATAAATGACTGAGGCAAAAGTCGTATTCTAGCCTAATGGTCCATCCAACCTGAGCTTATCCCAGTTTCCTCAGCAAGAAGCAACTTGGAGAATTACCACTCCCCCCTGGATGGGATGCTAGTCCATTGCAAGGTTAACCCGCCTTCCACAGCAATTCATCAGGCTTTTCTGGCAGTTAACTGGTACCCATTCATAATCCTGGGGGAAGAGAGGCACTGTAACAGTAAAGTGTTTTGCCCATTCAGCCAGAGCTTATCCCAATTTCCTTAACAAGAAGTGACTGGGAGAATTACCGCTCCCCCCTGGATGGGATGCTATTCCATTGCAAGGTCAACTCCCCCCCAGCATTTCATCAGGCTCTCCTGACAGTTAGCCCATACCCATTTATAATCCTAGGGGGGGGGGGAGAGCGGCACTGCAACAGTAAAGCATTTTGCCAAAGAACACAAGCATTGCACTCTCCACCATACAGTTAGCCATTCTGTTTCCATGCTGTAGAAATATCATTTGCTGACTAAATCAGGCATAAAAACATCAGAATCTTCACAGTTGATAGATAGTTAAATAGAAAATAATGGTGATTGTCTTTACCAAATAGGAATTCAGCAGAAAGGTCTTCCAAATGAATGTTGGTCAGCTGCAAGATCCTAGTTGGAAGCAATAACAACTCTGTCAAACCCAAAGGAGTATTCCAAGGAGAACCTCCTAAAAATACAAAGACCAAAGAAAAAAGAAAATGTAGAAGTTAAACATAATTTCTCCTTGCAATGTCACCTCCAAATCACCCATTAAGATCACAAGAATAAAGGAAATTAATAATCACCAACTATAAAAGCAGTTGATTGTTGAATAAATTCTCCTTGTCAAAAAAATATATGGAGAACATTCTGGAGAATATGTACACTGATATTGTAGTGCCCCCACCCCCCCCCTCTTATTTGTGTTTCTATGCTGTGAAAATATATGCCACTCTCAACTTATCACTCCATCTTTATCCAGTCATCCTCTAAAAGAAAGTTTTTTTCATTTCAAGCTCCAACACAGTCAAATAATTTTGTTTACAATAAAAATATGAAAGTATGTAATGTGAAAAATTGATGGCACACAACTTTCCCTCTGCACCAACAACTGCATATCAAATTTTCAAAATACATTTCTTCAAATAGTTTTGCTGATCTGAAGTCAGTTAAGAGGGTATCACTAGTTGTACACTTGATGCAACCAATACACATCCCCTGTTGGCACTTGGTAATACAAAGCCAAGTTTGTCGATGCAATTCAGTAGAAAATCAATACAGGGAGAACTCAAAAGAACACAACACTCCTTGGTATTTCTTTGGGCTAAGGTCTGTTTTCTGTTCTCTGGTAAGATTTGAAAGCCAATGTTATATAGAGTGCAAAGTGTACAATGATGGAAAAGATGTACATTCACATCCAAAAAAAACTTCACCTACTGATTGTTTTTTAATATCAGTTTTTTTTTTTAATTCAAACCAACCATAGGGCTTAAAAGCTTACTTACAGTTGATTAGACTGAGATGAACAGTTCTGTTGGTCTTTTAAAATGTGATAAAACTAAAGAAAATATTTAGTTTTTCTTGATCCCTTCACTCTCAAGAGCTCATTAGAAATTCTCCTTGCTGTCTGCCATGTCTTTCTTGTGATATCAGTTCAGAGAACTTGGTACTGGCCCAGCTAAAAGTTCCTTAATTGATATTTTTCTACCTCTCATCACTTGTCTGTTTGATGTTGTATTGATATTGTAAGGAGAAATGCTGCCATGATCAGGAGTTAAAGGGCATCAATTGTTCAGACAAACCACCAGATACCCAAAAAAAAATGCAAGGAACCTTCTGACAGATTCTGTTATGTTTACCATTAAGAAAGGCATGCTGCATGGCATTAAAAGGTGTTATCCTCTGCTCTGGTTTGCACTTCATCATTCTGCATGTAAAAGTAAAATTAAAGCATAGTTTCATTCAAACATTATTGACCAAAGATTCATCAAGTATAAACTCCTCCAGTTTCATAGCAATGGGTGTTTCTGACATGAACTGAGTTCACTTTTGTGTACTCTGGGTAAAGAACTTCCTGGCTTCTTTACAAGAAAAACTCTGAGGTAGACCATGGATGAGGTACATTCAACTCATACACAACTTTTCACAGGGGTCATGCATGGTAAACTTGAGACTTTGTAAGACACCAAGAGTAGCAACTAATAGATATAAAAGTGCCTGATATTCTCATCCTTTGAAATGAAAGAAACAGAGATTCTTAGACAAGCTGACAGGAGAAATCAAGAGTGCAAGGTCAAAGTTTGTCAATTTTAAGGTCCACTTTGTAACTCTTTCATTTTTCTCTGTAGGGATTAGGTTCTGTATGAGCAAGAGCATAAGCCAAGTGTAGTATGCAGTTGGATGTCAGCTAGATTTGGTGTAGTCTTTGTGGCTGATCAGGATTAAGCCAGGTTGAGACATTTTGAAAAGCCTTTTACGTTTATTAGGTTTTAATTGGAACATTTATTTTTCGACAAATCAAAGTTATTCTACACATCATCTGCTTTAAGGTATTGTGTCAAACTTCATGTAACTCTCATGTCAGCTATACTACACAGTTGTACTGAATATAGAATGTTGAAACACCTCTGACAGAGATAACTGAGATTTAAAATGTACAATTAGCAAACAAAAAAGTTGATAAAATGTAAATGTTAAGCAAAATGTTTATCAAATGACTCACAGTACCTCATAACAAAGTCAAGAAAAAAGTTATGTTGTTCAAGTGTAATCTTTCTTTCATCTTTGGGTAATTCCTTTTGGATTTGGTGGAAATGTACACATTCAGCATCCTGAAGGCAAAACAAAGATTGAAACTAATAATTACATTAACTGGCTAAGTACATGCTACATTAATTTTACAGCTGTATCAAGTGGAACCAATTATTCCAACACATGTTCTAAAGATAAAGTTATTAATTTTATATTTACCTTTTCTTGCAAGCACATGACACAGACTGGTTCATAGGCATCATGTCTGGGAGCTGACTGTCCTGTGTACATGTACCACAGGACATAAGAAAAGCTCCACATGTCACAAGCAAAAAAACATTTCTGCAAAAATACATCAAAGGAAGTCAACTGCAGGGTGGTCCAAAAGTGACTTACGCTTGGCTCCAACGAAGGGCTAACGCTCAAAACGTCAGCTTTTGTAATCGTTAACGTGGCCAATTTACCAGTTCAACTTTGTTGATTTATCCAAAAGAGACTTAGCTTACCCTATTTCATATTGCTACATTGCCATTTAATTTCTAGAGACCTGCTTTTTAAGTGTTGTGGACTACTCACCAACATACTTTTCTCAGTAACACCATTAGCAACTAATCTGTTCCACATTTGCACCTCAGGAGATTGGTAACCAGGGCTCTGAAGTGGTTGAGAAAGCTGAGGAACATCAAAGCAGAGACCAAAGCCATAAAAATCAGCTGTTATTCACATTTTAAATGTATTTTTGCATGTAGTTTCTAAACAGTGGATCAAAAAATGATCACCACAACTCGACATGTTTGAAAAGAAATCAATCCTTTTACTCCCAATATATCCATTGTAATTCTCCATACTGTCTCTTACACACTTTTTATGACATTAGTTTGGAGAGTTTAGTATTGAATCAACTCATAATTATTCTCATCACTTGTCTGTTTTACATTGTATGGATACTGTAAGAAGATATTCTGTCTTACTCACTTATGGGAGACAAATTTTTCCAACCACATCCCTAGCCATTTTAACTGTCCTTAAAAAATCCTTCAAATTTTCTGATTCTTGGCTCTACCCCATGAGCATTTTTCAAAAATTTATTCATAAACCACCGTTAGAAAAACAAAGGTAAGACTTACTTGATGTCCTTCAGTGAAACTAAGTCCAAAATCCACAAGTTGAAAGATCCCTCTCTTTGGATTCCACATTACATTGGACATCTTTAGGTCACCGTGAACAACCCTACTGATGGCTAAAAAACTCAGAGCTTCAACAACATCCCTAGAACATCTTCTCACAATGGAAAGAGGAAGACCTTTGCCTGAGTGCTTAAGTAAAATGTGGTGAAGATGACAATCCAACCGCTCAAAAACCAAATGAAAACTACCTCTGTATAGGAAATAATCCAATAAGTGCACTGAAAAGGAAACAAATGTGCACCAGTGAACAAACAAAAAAATTAAGGTAACAAGTTTTTAGACCTCTCTCATAATGGACCTAATTATTATTCTTTTGCATGCTTGTAAGTTCTTCTTCCTAGCCTCTTACATGTAAGCAGAGGTAAAAACAATACAATTTGACCTCAAAAGCCTGGGTAGGGGATATATATATCTTATTAACCAAGTGCAAGGGCCGTACTGGGAGAATATTGGCCTGAGGTCTTGACAGTACGGACCGAGCGCAGCTCGGTCCGTACAAAAAAGACCGAGTACGGTCCCAAGCAAGCTTGGTTAATAAGAGATTTATTATACGACTGAAGTTCAAAGGGACACAAGTGCCGTATCATTCCGGACCATTCAGGACAGTGCCCCGTCCAATACTGAGAGAATATTGACCGGCAATAGAGCATTTTGATTGGTTGATTTTAGTTATTGGCCCTCTGACTGCCTGAGTTGTGTAATAAAACTATATAAACACCACTTATGAAGGAGGTACATAGTGTGAATTTTTCTGAGTGCTTTCTAAAACCTTTGACTTTGAACTTGATTATGAATAAAAAGGTACAAAACTGAATCTCGTTTTCAATGCAATCACATTTTAGTGTTTTTTTTCCTAACTAATTTCCAAATTCACCATGCTTTAGTTGGGATTATGTCTAACATATGTGACTTATCATGATTAGGAAATTATATTATGATATTTAAGGACTTTCCAAGCAAATTTCAAATTTTACAGTGTAATTTCAATATAGATTTATCACAAAAAACACCTTTAGTTTTCTTCCAAAGGTTACATGGAAATGCACTGTAGAAATCGATATATATTATTATTATTATTATTATTATTATTTTGATAAGTGATAAATTGTGCAAACTAACTTTACTTGGTAATGAATTAAGGACATTAAAAGATAACTACTCAGTATCATGAACATACCAGTATTTATGGTTCAGTTGGTTACAGGTCACTTCACCAACATTTCAACTCATCAACAACCAAATTGTCAGCACCATTAGCCAACACATTGACACCTAAGGTCAACTCACAAACTCCACTAGTCAACTCACCAATGTCATCTTGCTATCATCTCTACTTGATTTTCATTTCCTGTTTGTTCAAAGTAGTCAATAACTTTATAACTTTGACTGAAAATCAGTTAGGACTGAGGTGGACGAGTATGTCAGTAAAGTGACTGGTCTGTCAGTGAGTTGACCAAAGACAACTGTCAGTGAGTGACCAAAGACAACTGTCTGCAAGTTGACCAATGGTGTCACCGAGTTTAACTAACAGTGTAAGCAAGACAGTTGTCAAAAAGTTGACATGGCCACAAAGGAATAAAGGGGCAAGTTTCTAAAGAAACTGTGGTGCTGCATCAATGGGTGTAACAAGGTAATTTGATGATACCAGTTAAGTTGAAATTGTAAATTGGCCACCGTAAAGAGTTAAAAAGCTGACATTTCGAGCATTTTCCCTTTGTCAGAGCGAATGATGAAGGGCTAACACTCCGATGAACGCTCTGACGAAGGTCTAATGCTCGAAATGTCAGCTTTTTAACTCTTTGCGGTGGCCAATTTACAATTTCAACTTACGTAGCTGATATTACCAAATGGCCACAAAGGACCTGGGTACCATTCGGTTAAACTCTTAATTAACAGCAACACTTTTATAATGGCCAGCCTAACCAAACTTTTCACCTTTGTAAAAAACCTCCCTTGAACCACCATTTTTCTATTAAACATTCCAGTTTACTCAGTCGAAAGATGGTCATTGAATTTCAAATTTTTACGCAAAATACTCACCAATGCAATGTATATTGAGCGATCCAGCTTCATGACCTAAATACTGCAGAATCTTTATCTCATTGATAGCAGTCTGTTCATATTGCGATCCTTCCTTGAAAATCTTAACAGCTCCTTTAACAGCTCTTTTACGCCCATTTTTCAAGCAGAGGGTCCCAGAAGCCTCAAAAACCTCACTGCATGTTCCCCTCCCTATATTGATACCAAGTTTCCATTCGTGCTTGGTAATCTTCAAAATTTCACTCTTTCTTGAGTACATGAATGACACCACTTTGCAAATTAGGAGAGAATCAGGAAAAAACAAGTACTTAGCCGCACAAAACTTTTTCAATAATCTAAATAAATATTTTTCGAGTGAAACGTTATAACATAGCACAGCATAAATATCCAAAGATCGACGACTACATGTGGCGGCATGAATGCACTCGAGACAGCTGTCAAACGACAAACGTTTATTCTGATTACCTGATCACTACAGTGAATTCATCTCTTCCAGCATATGGGCTTGCGTTGTTTCTTCTCTCTTCCCGCCACATGTCCGAGGAAGAAATGAGCCTAAGAAACGAAGAACGTGTACGAGCTTCCAAGACTGGCTAATAATCCTTCGAATTTAGAGCCACCATCTTTCCAGACAAGTGATTGTCAGTGAGATGGGAGGGGTGAGTGCGTAGTTATGAAATAAATTTGAAAGGTGGAAAGATAAAGTGTCTAAATCTGTTATTCCTTGTTCATAATGCTCCTCAAAGTCAATATCAACATAAGTTAGGCTGTCCATGAATCATTTTCCTCTTAATCATGAGTTTGTAGTAATCTCAAGCAAAATATACAACTAACTGGGACTCCCAAAAGAGGACTAGGAAGAAGAAAACACTTCCCCGTCGACCGCGAATTTTACCAGCGTTCTCCAACGTAGCGCACGCGTACAAAACGTAAACACACATGGTGTAGTAAGTTTTTCGTATCAGAGAAGTATGTAATAATGTCTTTCCTGTAAAATTTATGGCGTTTCTCTAAAGCAGCTTGGAAAATAGTTGGTGCAAAGAAGAAATGGAGGATCCAGATTATGAGTCTGCAAGCAGTAATCAACGGGAACGAGAGCGAAGAATCCTTACCTCAAGACAGCGAGATGCAAAGGAACAAACTATTCAGAAGATCGATGAAATAATTCGACAGCAGTTCGCTCTAGAAATACATCTCAAGGAAAGAGAGATTGTTGTGATTGACGATAGAATCGGTCATGCTAAAGCAATGCTAGATAGGCTGAGAGCGTGTGTGCTAGCAAGGTATTACGGCTCGTCCGAAAACAGAGGAAACCAATCTAGTAATCGGTCATATTTCAAGAATGAGGGACATGATCGGAGAAAGTCAGGTCGGAATCTCGCAAAACGAGTCGACTTTCAAATGAATCCACTCAACAAAAATCCCACTAAAGAAACGATCACTTCAACAAGCAATTTTAAATCAGAAGCAACCGAGCCTTTGGAAGTTAAGAAATCAACGGCCTCTGAGACAACAATAAGTGCTAATGATCAACTTATTGGCAGTAAGAATCACCTTATCGACGCTGTGCTTCATACGAGACAAGAGAATTGTAGTAGCACTCCAAATGGAACAACTGCGTGTGGAGAACCCGTTCTCTGGGGTCATATCATAAAGGAAGATCATTCTAAGAAATCAAACCCTGAAACAGGGAATGGAATCACTCAAAACTGTTTGGAGCCTAGTTCAAGTCAAGAAAACTCACCAATTGCAACAGCAAGCGTTTCAAATGCAACGCCCATGGTTGTTGCTAGCGCTGGATCGCGGTTCTATATCAAAAAGCGAATCATTGTTGGGAACACATCAAAATACATATCGATAGACAGGCGGGAGGATTACGACAAATCGACCCACAAGTGGATGGTGTATGTTCGTGGTCCTCCCGAAGATCCGAACATTGATCGATTTATAAAGAAGGTGTGGTTCTTTCTTCACCCGAGTTATCGTCCGAACGACATAGTAGAGGTCAACAAGCCTCCTTTTCATTTGACCAGGAGAGGTTGGGGAGAATTTACAGTCCGCGTTCAGTTACATTTTGTTGACCCAAGGAACAAGAGGGCTGACATCTTTCACGAACTAAAATTGGATCGAACGTACACAGGGCTTCAGACGTTAGGCTCCGAAACTGTTGTAGACTTGGAGCTGGATCGTAGGACAATCGATGATAACTATATTTCAGCTGCTGTAGAAAGCTTTTCTCCCCATGCACACCACGAGCATGATAATAATGTAGTAAGAAACACCGCGAGAAATCTTCAGAACAACAGAAATCAGCTTCAACATGAAACGCTTCCAACAGTTAGAAAATGTTCGAACGCACCAGAAATGTCATCACAGTATCCTCCACTGAAAAAAGTAAAATTAGAATCAGTCTCTGCGAGTTCATCAGTGATTTCCTCCGCAGTGTCATCACCTGTAAACAGTCAGCCATCGTCAAGGTGTGGCAGCCCTGAGCTAATTTCCGGACAGAACCAGTTCACGGAGGAACTTAAAGAACAGCTCAGGCAACGTGTGAAAGAGCACCCCTTGATTGATCCTGCAAGAAACCTCGTTAAGCACCATTATAGTGCTGCCTCTTCAGAACAGTTTCTTAGCTGGAATATAGGCAAGAAAAGAGCCTGCGAGTGGCAAAGGGCAGCGGCTGTTAAGCGAAGTATATTAACCTCGATGCCTTCTTGTAAGCTCAGTGTTAAGGATATCTTACTATGGTGCCGTCGTTTTGGTTACACACCAAGTGACAAAGTCTTAGTGGAAGACGTTTCTTTCTGTAAGCTGTGCGGAGGCTGCCTTGGTGTCCAATCTGAGGTGCCTTCTGAAGTAAGTGAAGGTCATAGATGCGATAAAGCAAGTTACAATTGCCTTACGCTATCAGCTACCTTGTTCTCTGAAGTGGGACTGAAAGAAAGATGTCTTCCTGACATACCACGACCAGACAACGACTCAGAAGACCTGGAAATCGATGTGGTTGGTGACATACCAAGAGAAAAAGCAACAAAGCCACAGGATGGGAAACCAGTGATGTATACGATTCCGTCAACTTCGGAACAGAATTGGATCCGTGAAATGTGCAGCGACATCGGTGTTAAGCTAAAGACTGTCCATACTGATGGGGTAAATGTGCACGTGATTGAGAGTCTTCTTCTAACAGCCTGCAAAAGATTTGCTGAAGATCTGTTGCGTCAGTCATGGGCTTACGCCGCTGACCAGACTACGTCTTATGGTCCTAGGCTTGTGACACCAAGTCACGTGCACCGAGCCATCTGCTCCCTTCCTCAGTGTGATTTTCTTACTAGTGTGTTTCTCGGTGAGATTTTACTGAAGGAGGAAAGATAATTTTTTGTTTTGGAACTGACACGTGTTGTTTTGTAAAATGACCGGAAAAGTACTTTTTTTCCAACGCATTTCACCTGTGAAATTTTCAAGTGCCTTTTCTTTGAAATAGAGTCACTAACTTTCATTGCCAGTTTTTTTGTTCTCAGCCGTCCTCATAAAATTATGTACTTAGTACAGAAATTCTCTTGAGTGCCGAAAGTAATCCGGATTGCTTTGGTTTGCTTCACTTCGCTCTGTGATTGGTCGGTCCAGAAAACTGGCGCCACTCTCTCAACCAATCAATTTCAAAACTAGACCCAACCGCGGCTTGGTCACGTACATTTTCCCGCGCTTTGGGCAGTTGTTTCTTTTTTACGTTGAGTCCTCTTCTACCCCTTGTGGTACTCTCTTTTTCTCCTGATTGGTTCATGTGATTTTCATGGTTTTGCGTTTTACGGCACTCAATTAAAATCCGGTCAAGTGGTGGATTTCACAGTTTAGATCAGTTCTTCTTTCTTTTTTTTTTTCTTTTGAGCTTCAGCGTTTAGAGTTGTTTTAGCTAGGTCGCATCGTCCCCGAAATTGTTCAAGTCTGGACGAAAAATGTCCTTCTGAAACACCTGTTTTAGCTGTTTGAACCCTAAGAGTGACTAGCATTTTACTTCTCCCTGCAATATCACCCCTGAATCACACATAAAGGTCATGAGAATACAGGAAATGATCAGCGTACGAGTGACCAGCATCTAATTTCTCCTTACAATATCACCCCTGAATCACACATAAAGGTCATGAGAATACAGGAAATGATCAGCGTACGAGTGACCAGCATCTAATTTCTCCTTACAATATCACCCCTGAATCACACATAAAGGTCATGAGAATAGAGGAAATGATCAGCGTAAGAGCGACCAGCATCTAATTTCTCCTTACAATATCATCCCTGAATTACACATAAAGGTCATGAGAATAAAGGAAATGATCAGCGTAAGAGTGATAAGCATCTAATTTCTCCTTACAATGTCACCCCTGAATCACACATTAAGGTCATGAGAATAAAGGAAATGATCAGAGTAAGAGTGACCAGCGTCTAATTTCTCCTTACATTATCACTCCTGAATTACACATCAAGGTCATGAGAATAAAGGAAATGATCACCAACTAAAGAAGCTCTTGATTATGAAAGAAATTCTACCTGTCAGCACTTTAGGAAATGTATAGAGAATGTACGGAGAGTATGCATGCTGATATTAGGGCGTGGGGTATTAGATATTTTCTTACATTTTCAACTGAGAAAGGTTCGGAATAAAGGGGTCAAGGAACTCAGATTTTTTTCCTTCCTTTCACTCTCAAGAGAAATAAATAGTATATTTATTTATTATCCAGTTGCGCTTCGTAGAGTAGAAATTAAGTGCGAGACGAGTACGAATATCACGCGATATTTGTGCTCCAGAAATACCGCGAAATTCGCCCGCACTGGAATAACAATTTGGCGTGTTGGATAATAAATCTCTTATTAGACATTTTGTTGTGTAGCATCGCTGAGTATTTTTACGAGTTGTTTATATTTTGAATCGCCCTACGGGCTCTTCAAAATGCGGCACAACTCGTAAAAATACTCAGCGATACCACACAACAAAACGTCTAATAAGATCTATTTATTCGACGACCGAGCATTTCTTAATCTATTCACACATAGGAGCGGGAAGTTGCTGAAGAGCTGTGTTTTATCAAACAGCCTGAGTTTTAGTTCGAATCCGGCCAGTCACCCCTCCATTTCATTTCAAATGGTCGTTATGGCACTCACTCTTTGTTTGTTTGGTTTGGTTCATTTAATGATTCGACTCAAACCATCATCTTTTGGTAATTGTTTCTTAGGGCGTGCGGTGGCGCACGAAGTGCTGTTTAGCTGTTGTATTCCAAACATTTGGTGCTGCGCTCACCCTCTATCAACAACTTAAATTATGCCCAACGAGTGATTCAGTTTCTATCAAAACTCGAGATCATGTTCCTTAGTTCTGATAACATTATGAATCAGAGCAAGAGGTAACAGTTAATAGAATCGATGGTAGCAGAGCCCTCGGATCAGAATTATGTCCCAGGGGTAAATCTGCAACACTACTCGCATTTGTAAGCACCACTTCAGATAAAAAGTCGATGATATCTGATTTTTTGATAAGTATCTTTGAAAATTTAGAAAAAGGTCACTGTGCATCATGATCGACAAATTGACGGACAGACAATACTTTACGAGGAATGAATGTCAGGTGGAATATTGGTTCGCAAATGGTTTACAGATAAACCCCTAGAGCGGCGAAAATGTCTAGAGGTCTTTTAAACAAGGATTTACAATGCTCTAAACAAAGTTGATCGATTTTGCGAGTTCGCCGCTGAAAATTAATAATAAAAGTAATCAATTCTTCATATCTTAGTACGGGCTGAAATTTGTGAATGAAGAGCAATTGAAAAACACTTTTAAAAAACCAGATAAGCCACCGGACGGACGCTTAACATTAAATAACAAAATCTTAAATATGCCATGGCTTGTGGAGTTTCACTTTCTTATCATTGTGTTGCCATTTTCCCTAAAAGATGTCGGCAAAAGATTAAACTTTAAATTAATAACTTACATAAAAGTCGCACGTGGAGGAAGAAAAGCATTTACAATAGCATAAAGTAAATACTGAGTTGTCCTCTAAAGGCAATTTCCCAAATGATTTAAGAGAGCGAAGAAATCATGTTTTCCGATTGCAAGTCACAGGAAAGGTCTTTAACTAAGGCCTGTGAAAGCAACACATGTCAGCCAAGTCAAGAAAAAAATCATTAATTGAACCTGGGAGAAAAATGTGGAATGTTTCTTTGTAGACTCTCTATTATGTCCTTGAGATGAAAGCCTCTCTTAATTTTTGTGTTTACAAGGAAAGATGAAAATCTTGACACGAGAGATAATATGGTCATTTTAAGATGAAAAACGTTCGCGTCCCAGTCACTTTATTTGTGTCAGAAGTGATGCTTTTAGGGTAAAATCTTGTAGACACGACACAAATATTTCATATGGTTGTCTGTTTATTTCCTATAAAACGGTACTTGAGTAAACTGGTGTCAACTCATATGTTTGAATCTAGCAGCTCACGCCAATCACATCATTGACAGTTCAAATGGAAGCGTGCTATGGACATTTTACACTGAATGCACATTAAAGCTTTCTGGCAAATTTTCTTTTTACAAAATCCTATTTACACTATATACAACCGTAACGCGCAAAAGTACTTTTTGATCACTATTTTCACTGATTTGCCCTCATTAACAGCCAACCAGCTAAAAACGAAAATTAACAACATTTCACAGCGGAAACTGGGTACACTAAGATTTGAAAATGTCCTCTGCTGTATGTACAGGTATCAAATATAAGAATCTATTTCAAAAGTCAGTTTAAAGGCGCTCGATCCTACAACCCTTTATTTTAAGCGTAATTAAGAATAAGTACTTGTTTTTTCCTTCAGGTAATCTCTAAGTATTAGGATGAACACTTAAGGAGATTGATAACCAAAGTAGAGTATGTTTGCTTTGAAAATGTTGGGGAAGACCGCCTAACAGTAATGTGGCGCTCTATAGTTTCCTTCGTAATTAAGTAGCATATTCCAAAAAAGCACAACTCTTAGCTATGGAGTCGCGCTTTCTAATTTGCAAGAGTCTGGTGAATGCTCAATATGACTTGTTTCTTCAAGAAGACTTTGCTGTTTCTGAGCTGCTACTTTGGCAGCCTCGTGTAAAGGCCTATGCCGCGCTGATTTTTGATGAGCCCGCAATCCAGCAAGCTGCGAGTAAGCGAAGTGACACACATTACATTTGTAAGGTTTCTCTCCAGTGTGAAGCCTGGTGTGGTTCCGAAGGGTCGACGATTGCGAGAACGACTTCTTGCAGTATTTGCACTGAAACGGTTTCTCCAGGGTGTGAATGCGCATGTGCGAGCGCAAATTGCTCCGAGAGTTAAATCCTCGTCGGCAAAGCGTACACTTTAATCTGCCGGGAACGACGTTGCTTTTAACACGGTCATGACTGAATTTGTAAACTGAATCTCCTACATGAAACGAAAAGAAAGAAAAAATCTGTCAATTCATACTTTTCTCAAGTGCAAACAAAGATCTATTTTTCTAGAATAAATAATCAAAGAAGAACTCCTACAATTTAACGCACGGTTGGGCGCGATTTCCTGTTTTGATAGAAACAATAACGTAGAGGAAATGTGGAAAGTGGTTGGGGAGGTTCAATTCCAAGATAAACATTTCACGCTGTGTTATAAATCATGCCAAGTGCTTCTGAAACAGCTTGAAATCAAAACTAGAAATAAAACGTTTTCTTTTTTGTAATACAAAGCCATAACAATAACCCTTCGCAAAGATAAATAAGGTGTTTGAAAAAGTGGAAAATGACTGAGGAAACGACGCAGGTCAAACTTTTGTAGCAAAACTATTTCTTTCCCCGACCTGAAAATACTAAATAAAAAAATTAAGTTTCCTCACAGCCTTAAGAGTACAGGAAATACATTTAAATTAGTTCTACGGACCGTGTAATTATCATTTATTACGGAAACGTTTTGGTAAGACACTGAAAACTTTAGAGTATGCCTGATAGAGGTGCTGGTGAAATTTCCGAACTTCTGTCAATTCCAAAGATTATACTAATTACACAGACGCTGAGCTTGGGCATAAAAAATCTCCTGCATATGTATTACATGATTAATAGACCATTCAAATTAGAAATCTCAGCAAGAGACAAGTAAAGATTTTGGATTAGTTAAACAAATCGACACTTGGTAGGAGCCACGAAAGACCAAATGAAGACTTTCATTAGAATTCGGACAACGCTGGAATCTTGTTTCATTGGGTGGCTTGAACATGATATTAACTGACCATTCGCATTTTAATAATAAGCAATAGCCATCTGTGGCTTTCGCTAAAAAATATAACACTATAGTGAGGAAACGGCACGTGGTAAATGTAATATGGTGAAAATTATCATGGTCACACGAGAATACGAACTTATTGTAAAAACTCAAGACATGCAAAACGCACACGACTTGTGGATAAATATGTTACTGGCGCTCAGCCTCAAACTTAATCCAAGATTTTATTCGTACAAAAAATTTTGGTCAGATCTCTCTGTTTCGTTATAGTAGGCGTAAATTGATTCAATTCTCTCCTTTCTATCTGACAGAAAGAAGTGTAGATTGCCACGCTTTTCATTCGTCTGTTTTTTTTGTTTTTTTTTCATTGTATTTTTCCAGTTTCTGACATGATGCTTAATGTGCCACGTCTTAGAGAGAGACTTTCCTTCGCCCTGAAGCGAAATCGTGTTTCTTCTTCGTCGTTAATGCAGGGCGTGGTTATTTCAAACTTGGAATTGACATTGGCATTAACGCGAGTAAACTTAAAATTCATATACAGCTCATATTCCATGACCCAGGGGGCAAATAGATGATTTTTGATTAACGCAAAAGCCTTAGCGTGGAAAAAAAATGACATTGT